TCCTGTCCAGGGCAGGGGGTCAGACTAGAAGATCTGCAAGGTCCCTTCTGACCCTACATCTATGAATCTATGTGAATCTATTAATCTCTTTCTGTATTTCTCTAAGCTAGTAATTCTCAGCTAGGGTGCTGTGGCATCCCAGGATGCTTTGAATTCCTTTCAAGGGTGCTGCAGGGTTTCATGCAATGTTAGCACTGTTAGGTGTGGAAATACGATTCACAAAATAAATGCAGGAATTTCAAATAAGAATCCATAGCATTAAAAATATCCTGACCTGCTGTGGTCTGAGTGACTTGCAACAGAAGAAGCACTTTATTATTTTTCCACAGCCAAAATACAGGTGAAAACTAAGTGTTTTTGAAGGGTGCCGTGAGTCTAATGAAGAGGTGTCTTAAGTCTGACAAGTTTGAGAACCACTGCACTAAGAAGACAATTCACTGATGTGCTTGTTCTGTGTAGTTTGACCAGTCACGTGTGCATTTAGTCAGTAAAGTTGGCATCCAGCAGGAATGCTTTTGAGTTAGCAACATATGAATTGCTCAAATATGTGAAAGAAAATAACCCTAGCAAACACATAACTGCATTTTAAATCCCCATTTCCAACATGTGACAGAAATGGATTTGAGAAAGGCAGTGAAGTTGCTGATAATTTTCTGCTTTATACGCATTGCTTTGACATTGTGACATCAAGTTGCTCAGAGTGTTTCTTTGGTCACTATTTTCTTCTTGCAGAAATGAACAGCGTTTTTTTGCTAGCCTGTTAGCAGGCTTATAATGCTGCAAACACACATGATAATAACTCCTCTCCAATTATCAAGTTGTAATTTTACTGGTAATTTTAAAATGTATTGGCTTACTCACTGACCTGAGAAACGATCTCTTTTTTTATAAATAGAGCAGAGATTGCCTAAAACTGGGTCCACCTGCAGAGGGAGAGGTTGTCCAAGTGAAATGGCCTGATGGAAAGCTGTATAGTGCAAAATATCTGGGAACAAATGTAGCTCACATGTATCAGGTGAGTGCCTTTCTTTATTACTATGTGCCTGTCTTCCAAATGTCTTTATGTCTGTTACAAATAACTCATTCTGCTCCAGACCTGAATGCCCCTGCTGGTTTTAAAACGGTGGAACTTGGTCATGACTCCTAAAGGGTGATGCATTCACATTAACTGGTGAAATGGCCCCAAATGTTTACAAGAACAATACAGTCGTAGAGATTTGTAATTCTACTTGTCCTCCAGAAGGAAAGCAATTTTATAGGAATCTGGTGTTGTTCAGTGGAGTTCTTCCTATGAAGGTGGAGAGTTGGATTATTAAGACTGCAGGGTGATACAATGTTGTTCTCTTTTTGCTGTTTGTTTTTATTATCAGGTAATATTTTAATGGGTACCTGATATTATGCATCCAGAGGCAGTTCCGAAAAGGATGAAGGACAGTGCAAAACACAGTAAAGTAGCATATTTTCAGCCTTTTGATGAGGCGATGTTATGTTGATTGACCACATACTTAACAGTGTGTTATATACTTTGTAAAAGGAAAAGCAAATGGAGGACTGTGAGCAAGACACAAAATCTGACTTGTGGTTTCAGAGACAGCATATTTGTGTTTTATAGACATGTATTTAAGACAGATAAGTTATCTTTGAGTCCCCAAGTGGATAGCGGAAACTGCACTAAGAATCAGTAAAATAATAGCACTTTTTAAGAGTAAGAATGTGTTGTATTTTCTTTATATATCTAGTGTTTTTCACATACATTATTCTTCCTATTTGAGAGCTTCACCACTTCTACATGAAAGTGCTCAAGTATTGCAATATCCACAGTAAATGGAGGCACGCAGAGGTTAGGTGACTTCTTCTGATAACATTTTCACTTCTGCCAATGACTTTCAGTCAAACTGAGGTCCCCAGGTTCCTGATCTCTTGCACAAATCTCTGAACTCTACTGGTTCCCTTATGTTTACAGCCTGTATTATGTTTTGAAGATAAACGGATCTGCATAAAAACCTGTGCACAGTTGTTTTATAGACCGGCTTATCTTTACAACATTTTAAAAAATATTCATCCTCATGAGAACCAGTTTCACAGGTAGAAAAACTGAGGCAGTGAACTGAAATCTTCACCACCCCACCCTTCCCCTCTGATACCATTACAAGGGGTGGAACTACATAAGGAGGTTCTGAAAGGCCCCTGTCTGCCGACAGGAGAATTCCCTTGGCATAGGAGCTATAGACAACCACTCTATTGCTGCCTTTCAGTGACCCCTTGCAAGCCCTATGACAGGGGCATGGAGAAGGCAAAAAGGGCAGCGTGTTAGGTCAAGGTTGCCACACACGGTACTGCAGGTATTCTGACAAATGCAGCAGCCCCAAGAGCAGGGGTGGGCAAAATATGACCCATGGGTTGTATCTGGCCTGCCAGTTGATCCTGTCTAGCCTGCCAGCCACCTCTGGGAGCCTCAGGATGGAGGGATGTGCCCTGCACCACTCTGCTTTGCCCTGCCGCAGCTGGGGCTGGATAATACAGCACACATACTCCTTTATTCTCCCCCCACCCCCGGCATCCATCCCCTCTGCCTGGCTTCCTGTTGGTGCTGTGACTGGCAGCTGGGCCCACATGGGACAGGGCATGAGGTGTACTGCCAAGTAGCCATCCTGTCTGTCTGCTTGCTCACCACAACGAGCCACTGCCACTGCAGCATCACTAGGAGATGAGTCCACATCAGCTGGGGGGTGGGGCTTGGCTCAGGGCATTGGCCCCCAACTTTTCTGGTGCAGCATGGTGGCAGCAGCTCATTGCAGCAGGTGGGACAGCTACTCAGCATGCTGCATTGCACCCTGTCCTGTGCAGACCTAGCTGCCAGCAGCCACAGTGCCAGGACTGTGCAATGCCAGCAGGAAGCAGGCAGGGAGGAAGGGATGAATGCAGGAGGATGGAGGAGTCTGCGCAGTATGCAGCCCAGCCCAGCCCCAGCTACAGCAGACTGGAGTGGCTCCCAGTTGGAGCCAGTGTGCTGGATAGGATCAGTTGGCATCTCCCCAGCCCCACCTCCAGCCCTCAATGTCTCACCAAAACTCTTTAAGCGGCCCTCCAGTCAATAATTCCCCACCTGTGCCCTAGAGCAAACCGGAAAGGCTGCCCCCTAAATTATATTGGAGGCTATGAATCAGCTCAGGGTTAGGAAGCTCCCCCATTGTATGATTGGAAAAAAAAACCCTTCAACAAACCTATTCTATTCTGATAAAGGAATTCTTATGTAAGATTTCTCTCATGGTTATGTGGAATTTACAGAATTTGAAGCCAGCTGTGTGTGCAGGGGACACAACCATGATCATAAATATCCACATTAGCATCTAACTGGAGACTTGTTTCTCTGTACAAATCCTAGGCAGCATTGTGCATTTTAAAGACAATTCTGAAAATCTAAGACTTCCATGTTTGGTGTCTCAGTCATTTTATTTATTTGTATGTTTCTTTTCAGTATCCATTTGTGAGCTTCACTGGATAACTAAATTGTCCATGTACCCAATTAAATGCTTTCTAGTAGTTTCAATTAAATCGTTAATTTATGATGTTCTAATACAAGAAAGCCACGTGGAGGGAACAACAAGGTACACAGAATGGGAGTGTAGCAGCAGGTTTTCTTTCTCTATTCACTGTTTGAATGCATAATATGTAAGTTTGGTTTAACATGTGAAGCAGGAATCTTTATTTCTTTGTGAATAATTGCATGATGAATGCATACAAAATAATACATACACTGTTTGTCAAAATTGCAACATATGCAGTTTGGTTAAAATGGGATGAGTTAGACTACCATATTGTATTCTGTCTAAATAATTGTATGACTGAATAGCTTCATCTTCTGCACCATAACTGTAGGTTTTTCCAAAATCAGCCACATCTTGTGGCCCGGTCTCTTACCCTGGCTAGCTCCTTGATGTTATACTGGTCTTCAAGAGAGTAGAGGTCAATAGATATTCTATCACCTGTGGTTTCCCCACATTCATGTGTGGCTATGTCATTAGAACAGCCTCATTTCCACATTGTCTTTGTTCTGCCTACTCTTGCTTGGAGGTAAGCAAACATCTCCAGGTTAGCTTGTACATGTTAATCCTAAATAATATCCTTACCAATAACCTCAAGAGGTTTGCTGTCTGGAGTTTTGTACTCCTGGTAGGGTCATCCATGGCAGCAAGGTCAAGAGCAACATTTCCAGACTAATAGCAAGCCAAAAATAAAAATGAAGCTCCTCGGTGGTGGAGCAGGTGGATGAAGGAAGACTATTTCACAGTGGCTGCAAAGATGAATAAAGGCTGCAGCAGAACAGAAACCTCTGGTCATCAAGATTTTCCTTGCCACTGAATTAAGGTTTCCTTCCTATGAAGTGTTGTGTGGTTGCTGATGCATAAGGGCATACATAAAACATATTCAACTGTCTTCCTTCCATAGCAAGTCCTACAGTGATGGGTGAGTGGTGACAGGGGCAGGTGCTAGTGACCACCAGAGGCTCCTAGTCATGGATCTACATGAAAGCGATGGTTGTATGGTGGTAATTTTGTACTTGGTACTGAGATGTGTGCAGTTCATCAGCTGCAACCATGACTGGGATCCACTCTGCTCACCTCGTATGGTCAGGGACTAGAAAAGATTTCTTAAACTTAGGTTTTCATTTCACCTGACTAGAAAACCATTTCTAGTGCGATCACTCAGAGTCCGAATCAAGTAATGAAGTTTGTGACCTGGAATGTTCACACCCTGATGGATAATCATAACAGTGACTGACCAGAGTGAAGGATAACACTCATGGGAAAAGAACATGTACTATTTGATATTGACACTGCTGAATTTAGTGACTAGGGACAGACTTTACAAATAAACAAGTATAAGTGATCCGAAACCAATTTAAACCTGTGACAGAACAGAAGTTCAGTGCACATAGACTGCTTTCAAAATGGCTGAAACCAGTTTAAGATAGACCTGGATGGATTTAGTATCAGACTTAACTGGTTTAGGTTAAACTGGTCTCTCAAACTTCTGTCCCAGATCCCCTCTTGACATAAGTTAGATCTCATTCCCATGCATCCCAAGACGCTGTGCAGATCCCTGCTAACTCTCCTCGCAGGTTACACAGACTAGCCTCTGCTCCAGCTTGTCTGTTCCAGCCCAGTCCAGGGGCCCCAACCCTGGGTGTCACAGAGCTCAGGCAGCCCCACCAGCACAGGGGTGGAGGGAGGAAACAGACCCCTCTGTCCTGGCCCTGTGTGCCCCCAATTGGGGTCTGCACAGTATGGGGGAGGGAGGGTCCATTCCCTCTCCACTCTTCCCCCCCATGTCTGACAGGCATGGAGCACTGGCAGCCTGGTGGAGCATGTAGGGAAGAAAGCCCCCATCTTTGGGACTTCCCCCCCTCCCACTATAGAGATTCTGGCTAGGGGGCTGGGGCAGGGGGATTTGTTCCCCCCACATCTGCCTGCCCCCATGGCTGAGAAGGTGGTGAGGGGGCAGGTCTGGGACATTTGTAGCCTGGTAGAGCTGGGAGGCATGCACAAGAGTCCCCCACCTTGTGGCCTTGGCCAAGCATCTGCTTGTCTTGGCCAACTGGTGAGTGAATTTGTATTCTGTTCATTAATGGTCTGATCTACACAGCTTAGAGGATGTTGCATAGATTGAATCAATTCTGCCTCAAGCTTTTTGACTATCTGTACTTAGCCACTGAGACTAGATGTGCAAGAGTGGGGTAGTTTACAGAGCATGGTGGTGGCTGGATCTTTTATTGGAAAGGAAAAGCTGAAAGACAGACATATGCATGGCACTGGTGTTGCTATGAAGATCCAGATTTTTACTCAGATTCCAGAATGTCTGGTTGGCATCAGTGAGTATCTTGTAGCTCTTTGTCTTCAAATGGCCAACAGAAACATACAAGAATCATCAGTGCATATACCCTGACTCTTGATGCAGATAACAAAAAAATAATTCTGTACTGAACTTGACCAAGTTCTCCCAAAATAATGGTAG